TCGTTTTATAGATTTTATATATGATATATCATAAAATATAAAATTTTATATATAAAGAACATAAAACCCAAGCCCAGGCCTGGAAATTTTCCAGTTGGACTAAGCCCAGCTTGAAATGATTACCCCTGAATGAAAGGGTAATTGACAGTGTTATCCATTCAGATCGAATGCCAACTGAGGGGTGATTCAGTTGGTACCTTAGTTGGTTAGCTCCTGCATAGACAGATTCAATTCTCGCAACCACTGACTTTGGAGAGGGGGTTATTAGTGTGGTGCGTATCACCAAATACCAAAAATATATATTCAGATCAAATTGTTATAGCATCAGTTAACGTTCCCAATAGGTGATTCAAGTATTTAACATTCAAAAATCAATGGAAATTAAAAGAACTTTTTTATTGTAAAAACATAAAAATAAGTTAAAATCGAAACAAATACACTAGAATGTTTTATGTCCCTTGTAATCTATAATATATAATTAAAATGCAGTTGTCCATGTTTTCCTAGTCTAGAATAAAAAGAAGAATAGAAAGTTAAGAGGGACAAAATTCCTTGAGAACTTTTCGTAACTTTATGTCTTTAGAGGAAAGAAAGAGGGAGACCAAGAGTCCCCTCACCTCAATGCTCACATAGAACTTGGCCTCCTCCCATTTTTCATACTTGTGATTATTTATTTTTAAATTAAATTATTATAAATATAAGATATCGCAATAAAAACCCTCGTGGGTCTTAATTTATATCAATAAAATCTATCAATACTTTGACTATTATTAAAATTCTCTCTCTCATAGCCAATGTTTGCTAGGGGTGTTCGTGGTGGTTAATTGTAACCGTGGGCTCTTTTTTAAATTGAACTGGTACTGTCAGTTTTTGCAATTCTCTGAACCGAAACCAAATCGATACCATCAATCGGTTGAGTGATTTTGGTTTTTGTCCGATTTAGCTCTTTGGCTTTTTAATATATATATATATATATAATGTATATATTTATATATAATATATAGATAATATATGACATATATAATAAAATGTATATAATATACACAAAAATATATACCAGTCCATTCGATTAATTATCTATTATTAAAAACGGAACCAACTTTTTACTTTTTCAAAAATACCGAATTAAAACCGAATCAATTGATTTGATTAATAAAAAATTTCGATTAAATTTACTTAATTTGGTTCAATTTTTTAGTTTTTTATGAGCAGTTGAGCACCACTAAGGTTTTTAATATCTCTCCCACATTAGATCTCATTGGGGTCGGATAAAAGGCCAATCGAAGACCAAAAGTAAACTGGACCCAAAATGATGTCAGCTTCACCACAACAAGATTGTCATTGTGCCATTAGAAGTCCATCACACACAACACATCCAGAACATCATTTCTTCTGCCAAACATTGTTGGATGCAATTTTGAAGGAACTAGCCGGAGCCTGGACAAGACCAATCCCAGGATTTTTAGGCGCTGGGCTTAGAAATCAGACTTTTTATTTATTGGGCTGGGTCCAGGCCTGACCCTTGGATAATCCGAGCCCAGATCAACCCAGACCCATACACTGTATAAGTGTATTCCAATCTAATGATTTGTGTCAAAGTACAGAAATTAATTATATATACAGAACCTATACTCAATGGTAATATTACTTTTAGTTTTAGTAACCTTAATTCCTTGTCAACTTTTTTACTGTCTAGGAAACAATAAACTCGATCTCATTCAAATTACACATACACAGCTCATGACTATTTTTTTATCTTTGATCAAAGGATTCCTCTCCCTAGTCTCTCTCAGTAAAAGTTATTGATTTTGAGTCCTTTGTTTAACTTTCGCCATTCAAATTAAATTAATTACATTTACTTTTGCCACCTACCGTTCCTTTTTATCAGGACTTTGACCTTCAAATTTTGAACCTCCAGTCTCCAACACTCTGAATAACCAGTAAATGCTAAGGCAATTTTTCTAACGCTATAACAAGTTATGACTTACTCTCTATTTACACTTCACCCCTATCCCATTATAGAAGATTGCACATTGGACCGGGAAATGGTAATTATATCAATTGTGAATTGATTTCTTTTTTGGTCCATCTGGTATTCTAAGTAGAGCCCACCTGACGGTGGATTTTGATTTTTGATACTCCAAACATGTGACGGTTGACAAAGTTGTTTTCTTAATGAGGTCTCGGACTACAACTTCAACCTTAGCCAATGCTTTACTTTGCAAGAGAACATCTGAATTCCTCTGTGCTGTGGTGGCTTTCTTTCTGCGAGGATACCACGACCCTTCCTATGAATTGGGGTTTTATTAGATTTTCAATTGGTTCAGTCCCTAACATGAATCTGCACATGTAGTTGAAATTCTTCAAATCCGACAATTCAACTTATATATTTATATAGCCCTAATCAAAACTCAAGCTCGGGCTTCAATTTTAGGCTTTGTGTTTTTGTAGAAGCATTTTAACTTTAAATTATGTTTTTAAATGAACCATTTACGAAACGCTTAAAACATTTTTGTCTAACAACTTATACAGTATGAGTAGGGTACAGTATTTTGCTAAACCCGATCCTCCCCAACATGTATATTGTTAGAAAGTATATGAACTTTATGTTTTAGGTGTTAAATTTATTAATGTTTTGAATTTTATGTGAAGGATGATGGATGCTTTATGTATTTTTTATATGTATTAATCAAATATTTGGAACTCTTGTTTGTTCATGTTATTTTATTTATTGTTTATAAATAATAAGAAATAATAAAAAAATAGATGTATGTTCTAAACCCAACCCACTCTACCCTTAATTGCAAGGGGAGTTTTGCATTTTCATGTGTGAAAAATGATTTAGATTCTCAAAATCCAATTCTCTATTGCTTTTGGGGAAGATATGGGTTGAAAGGTTTATAAAACCCTCATTGAACCCACCCCGTTGCTATCCCTAAACACTTTTCTTGGGTTGTATGAGAGATATTTGTTGGGGGAAACCATTTTTTTATATTTCCCCCAACACTTAGGCGTTGTTTCACTATTTAGCTTGCCTAATGAAACCTAGCTGTCAAATTTCTTTCAACAATTTTTCTTGTTTTTTGAGGGTGATATCATTTATGTTTTCATGAGACATATTTCACGTTTTACAAGGTTTTCTTATCATGGTCACTGTGATGTGTTATCACTGATTCATTTACGTTTGAATAATGTTAATGCATTATATATTTTCGGTTCTATCAATTGGGAGAGAAGATTCAAGTGAAAAGACTTTTTGCATGGACCCAATAGATGTAAACTTTTAGTAGTGAAAAGATGCATATGGGTAAATTTAACCAAATCAACTTTTCTAAACTAAAAAAAAGGGAGAGGGGGGAGAATGAATGTTTAGCCCACCCTAGGGTGGGATGAATCCTAACTGTGGATTGTGGATTGATGCCAAATTCATGGGTAAGATACGGTTTATAAGGGGTCTATTAGTAGACTATGGGGACTGTAATTTCAAAATTCTGTAGTGCACTATTTTCAAAACCAGACCGGACCGGACGGTCGGACTTGAAAAACCGGGAACCGGTCACTTAATCGGTTTTTTTTTCCTCCAAACCGCTTTTTCCCCAAAATCGTTGATTTTGGTCAGAAAACCGCTGAACCGGCTGGTTAACCGTTCGAACGGTTTTGACCATTTTCTAATTTTTTTATATTTTTTTTAATTTTTGTCAGAACGGGCCGGCCGTTCGGGTCGAACGGTCAGACTGTACGAACCAATAACCGGACCCCTGACCGGTTCGATCACCGGTTCGTTTTTAAACACCATGTTATAGTGGGCTGCAGTATACTTCTCAAAAAAAAAAAAATAGCCATTTTGTCTGATATTCCAGTTCTGATGTTCTGATGGCCCAACCATTGATTTGATCCAACTCCCACAAAATATGGAGAGTTCCCACGTACAATTGGAGGTAAGTTTCATATATGCAAATGATTCCAAAACGGGCCAAGATATAGTATCACCTGTTATATATTTAAGATATGTAGATTATATTGTTTCTGTCGAACCCAATCACTTTATTTTAATATCAAATTATTGGGAAAGGAAGAAAGGAAAACTTAGATATAAATCAAAGCACTGAAGGATTAATTAATTACGCAGACTATTACTGTATAACTATTACTCGACCAAAGAATGGACCAAGAGCATCTTGCCTTAGAAAAGGCAGACAAGAGCAAAACTTTCTATTGAATTCTTTCACGCAATTGGAATGTTTTCTTATACTTCTTATTCCTGTTTTGTTTTTATTGACTGAGAAGACCAAGAGGAACGGGTTTTACTACCACGTCTGTATGTTTGATTTTTTGACGACGTACACTTGGGCATTTGAGATAACAAGCAAAGCAACTAAAAGAGGCTAAATGGGTGAAAAATGAAAGGATTTTCGAGGTGTATTGTTTCTCAAGGGATTAAAGCTAAGAATTAAAAGGAGATTCTTTGACCAGGATCCCGAGAAACTGTTGTTACAAGAGCTGCAACACAGGACGCTGATCCAATAATGGTGGAGAGGGAAGGGAAGTCCATAATCAATATCGAGTATTGCTATATATCAATAGTAGTTTTGATTTGAATTTTGAAACATATTTAGTCTAAATATACCATCCTCACGACGTTGAATATTGAAAAGGAAAATGAAAGAAACGGTCAAAACGGTGAATTCAAATTGGGTTTGCATGGTCGTAGCCTCCAGTTTAGTCCTCCAATAGCAATAACATTTTTCTGTGCAAGCCATCCACCTTCTCTCCTTTCCTCTGTTTAGTACGCATGTTTTCCTCTTTAATCGATGCAAGTATGAATCTCCGAAGCTCCCCTGATGGTTCCTCTCATATATCAGAGCTGACGAAAGACACAAGGACACAACTCTCTCGTGGTTTGACGGTGGACTTCTTTCATCTCTAGTCAAACTAAACCATACTATAAATACGAAGCCATGCATACAACCTACTTCGAACATCATACAAAGCTTAAGAGCAAACACAACGCATTTGTAATCCTCGCTGCAGTTAACTAACCCATTACCCCATACAACATGGCTAGACTGCTCGCGTTCACGTTCCTCCAATTATTTCTTCTTCTGCTACTGCCGCCGAGCTCTACATTCTTAACTCAAGCCCGGCCATTCAATATTTTGAAGTCGGGTAGTTTTGCTAGTCCATTCTCTGAGGGATTCACAGACGGACTGTCTCGAATTGGGGCGGTCAAGAATTCAGGATCTAGCCCCGGTGAAGGCCACAAATTTGGAAATGCTCACGTTCTTGGAGGGATTAAGAACTCTGATCCTAGTCCTGGTGTTGGTCACAAGTTCACCAACTCTCACACTCTTGGCAGCATTAAGAACTCAGGTCCCAGCCCTGGGATAGGTCACAAGTTCACCCTTGGAAATATGAAGGATTCTGGCCCAAGCCCTGGTGCAGGTCACAGTTACACCAACTCTCAAACCCTTGGAGGCATCAAGGATTCCGGTCCAAGCCCTGGCGTAGGTCACAGTTTCGCCAACTCTCAAACCCTTGGAAGCATCAAGGATTCTGGTCCAAGCCCTGGTGCAGGTCACAGTTACACCAATTCTCAAACCCTTGGAGGCATCAAGGATTCTGGTCCAAGCCCCGGTGCAGGTCATAGTTACACCAACTCTAAAACCCTTGGAGGCATCAAGGATTCCAGTCCAAGCGCTGGTGGAGGTCGCAGTTTCGCCAACTCTCTAACCCTTGGAGGCATCAAGGAATCTGGTCCAAGCCCTGGTGCAGGTCACAGCTACACCAATTCTCAAACCCTTGGAGGCATCAAGGATTCTGGTCCAAGCCCCGGTGCAGGTCACAGTTACACCAACTCTCAAACCCTTGGAGGCATCAAGGATTCCGGTCCAAGCCCTGGTGGAGGTCACAGTTTCACCAACTCTCAAACCCTTGGTGGCATCAAGAACTCCGGTCCAAGTCCTGGTGCAGGTCATAGTTACACCAACTCTCAAACCCTTGGAGGCATCAAGAACTCCGGTCCAAGCCCTGGCGGAGATCATAGTTTCACCAACTCTCAAACCTTCGGTGGCATCAAAAACTCCGGTCCAAGCCCTGGGGCCGGTCACAGTTTCACCAACTATCAAACTCTAGGAGGCATCAAAAACTCTGGTCCATGCCCTGGTGCAGATCATGGTTTCAGCAATGCTTAAACACTTGAGGTATTAAGGATTCTAGTCCAAGACCTGACGGAATCGAGAAAGTAAGGACACTCGTCCCAATCCGCCAAGTAAACAAATCTTGAAGGAAGTAAGGAGTAAGGACTCTCGTCCGCCCAATCCGGCTCAACAAAATTTACGATTATTAATTTATTCATTTGAACATTGTAGGATAAAAACACTTTTAGGTAAGTCCTTGATTTGCTATCAAGTACTATATTCATTCTTTGTAATACCAAATCCGTCCTGATCAGTATATATGTAAAATTATACTATCAAAGTTTATTATTATTTTTCTCGTAATAGTTGAATACTTCATGCCATTCTTCAAATCTACTGCTTTTCAGATTAACCCATTGTTAATTATTCTGTTGGACTCAAGCTTGTTTCATGGGGAGTTAATTATTCTGTTGGACAGAAGCCTGTTTCAGGTTAACCAATTGTTACATGAACGAAGTAACAAAAATAAATAGTTTAGACTGCGCAACTCGTCCAACTGCATCCGGTAGTAAAAAGTATAATTATTCTGGTGTAACTGTTTTTTTTTTTTTGTGAAAAATAAAATTACACATTAACCATCACTCACCGGTGAAATTGATTATTGACCTGACCTCACACCCAGTAGGGTTGTGAATGGACCACCGCGTTTGGGTTGAATGAAATTTGAATCCAATCCAATAAAGTTCGATTTGAATGTCAGATAGGATTGGAAAAGTATATTAAGTTTGACATTATATTGTAGGATTTGATTGGACATTAAAAATTCAGTCCCATTTCAAATGCTAACTCACACTTTAAATCAATACAATAATTTCTCCTATAGCAAGACAGGTAGTAAGGCTCTCTCTCTCTTAAGAATCTCTCTTTCCCTTTTCTTACAAAACAAGAATTTGTGTTTTCTATGTTATTTTTTATATTTTTTTCTTTTGCATTTTTTGTGGTCTTCTGTAATTCTCCAGTTCGGATGGGATAGGGGTATAATCAAGTCAACAAAGAGCTCAAAATTCACCTTGAGCTCGATAGGGTTTCAAAGTTTTTGGTTTGAACTTGATTCAAGTTGTACTCATGAGCTACTCAACCTAGCTTGATTCAATCCCTTTATAAATAAATTAGTATTAAAAATTATAAATAAATTAATATTAAAAATATTAAAAACAAAAATATATTAAAATCTAAAGATAAATTAATATTATAAATAAGTTAGTATAAAAAATTAATGTTTATTTATATATATTATAAATACAAATATACTGAAAAATAATATTCCGCTATGAACTCAATTAGGCTTGCAAGCCACTCTAGTCGGATATTGTAAAGCTCGAAATCAGCTTGACCAACTACTCTAGTCAAACTTGACTCAAACTCGATTACTTTGAACTAAGTTCAAGTATTTAACGAGTAGAACCAGAATAGCTCGTTTAGTTTATATTATAAATAGGATGGATCGAATCCAATAATCCAATCTGACGTAGCACGATCCGGGCACTCCTAGTTGGCGGACACCTGACTCTTAACTGGCAACGGACGGTACCTGAGAAGAGGAAGGTGAAGGATTCCCGGGGAGCTCGCCCGGTGGGAATACTCCGATGCTTAAGTTAGAACTTTAAGAGAGCTGTAAGAAATGCAAAGAGAGCTAAGAGTGCAGGTAGCGCTAGATCAATTCAATTACCTCCGCCCCTTGGAAACCGGGGCCTTTAAATACAGATGTTTTTGTCAAATCGGGCATAACCGCCACTGGCCCTCTATCGCAGCCGTTATTTTCCAGGGCTGCGCAAGTAACCGTTGCAGAGTACTGTCCAATCAAATGAGAGACACGACCCAGAAAGGACAGGCACGCCGCCACCTGTCGAGAGATGTTGGTGTAGTCCGCTGGGCTGGCAGGGACTGTGCCGTCAGTCAGGAGACGTGGTGCAGTCTGACGGGTACAGTCTTGTCAGATAAGATGCTTCCTGAAAATGCCGCGTCGCTCAATAGCGAGCTGCCTTGTAGCGAGCTATCCCATAGCGAGCTTCCTTGTAGCGAGCTCCTAGAGATATTCCGAGGTGATTCTGCCTGAGGTTGCCTTTGAGGCGGTCCTCTTGCCTAAGTATTGGAGCGAGCTAATTATCCCAGCTCACGAGCTGGGATAGACTTAGCTTGGAGTGTTCCCTTTCAGCATACTGGGGTCCTTGAGCTCGCACTTTAGCGAGCTCGTTCCGTGGTGAGCTGTAATGTAGCAAGCTGACCTGCGAGGACTTTAACGATCTCGTTACTTTGTTGTAGCCAGGTTGTCACGCTGAGCTGTTACTTATGTCGAGTCATGTCCATGTGCCGCCTTCTTAGGAGGTCGGGTCAAATCACCTCCATCAATTGCCCCCCACTCCTCAGGCTAAGGGTCTCACTCTTTGTGCGGGGAGTTCATGAGGTGACGATATGCTTGGCTTTCACTTCTTTGGCTAGAGCCAGCCTGGCTATTAATGCCTCGTACTCTGCTTCCTTGTTGGATGTCACAAACTCGAAGCGTAGTGCATACTCCAGTTTTGTGCTGCTTGGGCCGTACAGAACAATTTCGGCTCCGCTGCCCTGCTGGTTTGACGAGCCATCTACATGAAGGATCTAGGGCTCCTCATCCCAATTCGCGTTCGGCCTAACTAGGAGAGATGCCACACTGGTTGCTACTTCACAGTGCTCGAGCTCAACTGGCTTGGGAATTTTGGGCTCGCCCGAGCTGGGGGCCTCGTGTTCGACCAGCCTGAGGACTTCGAAACTGAAAATGCATTCCGTGACGAAGTCTACTAAGGCTTGGGCCTTGATAGCAGTTCGCGGCTTGTATTGGAGGTCGTACTCGTTGAGCTCAACGGCCCACTTCGTCAGTCTACCGGAGACCTCGAGCTTGAGCAGAACTTGCCTCGGAGGTTTGTTGGTAAGGACGATGATAGTGTGAACTTGGAAGTACGGATGAAGCTTCTGGGCTGCAATAACTAGTGCATAGGCCAATTTTTCTATCTCTGGATATCTCGTCTCTGCTCCCTGCAACACTTTACTAACATAGTAGATAGGTCGTTGGACCCAATCTACCTCTTTTATCAGTACCGAGATGACCACCTCGTCACTTGCCGAGAGGTATAGCTCCAAAACATCGCCCTCCTCGGGCCGGGTTAAGACTGGTATACTAGCGTGGTACCTTTTGAGCTCATCGAACGCGAGTTAGCACTCTTCGGTCCATTCAAAACCTTTGCTTTTGATTGCCTTGAAGAAAGGCAGGCAGTGGTCTGCTGACTTGGACATGAAGCGGCTCAGGGCAGGTATTCGGCCATTCAGCCTCTGAACCTCCTTTAGTTTCTGAGGTGGTCTCATGTCTAGGATGGCCTTAATTTTATCCGGGTTAACCTCAATGTCGCGCCGGTTAACGATGTACCCTAGGAATTTACCCGAAGTGACACCGAAGACACACCTATTCGGGTTGAATTTCATGTTAAACTTACGCAAAATTTCAAAGACTGAATGCAAGTCTTGTATTAAATCATGCGAAAATTGGGTTTTGATGACCATGTCGTCTACATAACATTCTATTTTTTTGCCAATCAATGTAATAGTACAGGTCGAGCTCGGTTATGAAGGTAGTCTTTTCTTTGTCAGCTGGGTCCATCCTGGTCTGATTGTAGCCCGAATAGGCGTCTAGGAAACTCAGCAACTCATGCCCTGAGGTAGCGTCCACCAGGCAGTCGATCCTGGGGAGTGGGAAGCAGTCCTTTAGGCAAGCTCGGTTCAGGTCGGTATAATAGACGCACATGCACCATTTACCGTTGGCCTTATTTACCAGAACGGGGTTGGCCACCCAGCTCGGGTAATGGACCTCACTTATAAAGTCGACTGCCCTCCATCGCTTTGGGGCTAAGTTGCGTTTCTTCTGTCTAACGGGCCTAACTACAGGATCAGTATTAAGCTTGTGAGTTATGGAGGCTAGGGTCTATGCCGAGCATCTCTGCCGTAGACCATGCAAAAACATCTAAATTTTTAAGTAAGAAGCTTACCAGTTGAGATCGCAGAGGCTCCTCAATGGAAGCGCTGATCTGAAGTGTCCGAGCTGGGTCCTCCGTCAATGCTGGGATGGAGGCAGTCTCTTCCATGGGTGCAACTCGCTCCTCACATTGCTCCGTAGGTTACTCTAGCTTGAGGTCATCGGCCACCTTGGCTTTCCCTTTGAGGGCGGCGACGTAGCACTTGCGAGACTCAAGCTGGTCACCTCGCACTATCCCAATTCCGAAGTCCGTGGGGAACTTCATTGCCAAATAGTAAGTGGAGACCACTGCACATAGGGCATGGGTGATCGGCCGTCCTACTATGGCATTGTACAGGGAGGGGGTTGCGACCATTAAGAAGTCGTGGTTGAGCCTCACTATGCTAGGCCAGGTGCCGACTTCCACAGGTACTGTAATCCTTCCCAGGGTCCTAACTTCCTCTCCGCTGAAGCCTACGAGGGGAGTATTTGCGGGCTTTAGGTCGCTTTCTTGGAGCTGGAGTTTGTCAAATGCTGCTTTAAAAAGGATATCTGTCGAGCTGCCAGAGTCAACGAGGACACGCCTGACTTCAAGGTCGTTAATCTTTACCTTTATAACGAGCGCATCATCATGGGGGTAGTGGACCTCGCGCGCATCGTCCTCTATGAAGAAGATCGGGTCTTCCGTCCTTGGCCGCTTAGGGGGATTTTGCTCTTCCCGGGCGGCCTCACGAGCTGATGTTCGAGCTACAGCTGAGGTACAGCCTGCAACGACCGAACCTCCGACAATCACGTGGATAGTCCCCCGAACTGGTCTCTCTTCAGGGGGCTGCCTCTATAGTTGTTCTGCCTGCCTACTAGATTCAAGAGCATCTCTACTCTGCTCCCCCTGTCGACCTGCTTTATTATTATTATTATTTTGTACAAAATTTCTCAAGTATCCGCGACGGATGAGCTCCTCTATCTCGTCGTAGAGGTTTTTACAATTTTCGGTGCTATGACCGTGGTCTTTATGGAAATTACAATACAAATTCTTATTTCTTACACTAGGATCTGCCTTCAGCCAGGGTGGCCACTTCACATATGGAGCGCCCTTGATCGCCATAAGGATCTCGGCCCGCTTCGCGTTCAAGCGGGTATAGTCCGCTCTTTCGGCTGGCGGAGCTCAGAAAGGCTGACTCGGCCTTACTCCCCGAGCTAGGTCCTTCTTCTTCTTGCTATCACCCTGAGTTGAGGACTCTGTTTCCCTTTTTCTTTTC